CCTGTGCACAGCCCAGCTGCCGCCACGGCTGGCTCTCCCACGGACGTCTCGGGAGCACCCCGGGACCACACCAAGGGTCACCGGACGCCGCTTTGCTGCTGGAGGCGCCGAGACTCAGTAGCGGACACGGGGCGGCAGGCCTTGGAGACGGGGAACAGGACTGGGTGGCCAGAACAAAGCGAAGACACGCCCTCCACCTTCGTCTTCTAGATCTGGGGCCAGCGCAGCCCGGCTTTCCGCAAGTTCCACGGCCCGCACACACCAGGACGGCTGGCCCCCCTTTCCAGACCGTGCCCCAGCCGACGGGCTGCTGTGAGCGCCTGCTTTAAACAAGACAGCCCGGCCGCCCTGTCCCGCTCTCTGCTGCCTCTCAGAACCCCGAGCGGCTGCTGGCCCTGTGCCCGGCAGTCCCCTCACCACTCTCAAGTACACCCCCGTCAGGCTCACCCCGAACCACTCTTACGGCGGGTACTTGGCAGCCCTCACCCGGCTCGACCTGGGCCTCATACAGGATCATCCCCTCTTCCTAGAAATCCACCACCTCTGGCCCAGGGCCGCCCCCGCCTCCCAGCCTGTGCTCAGCCTCCCGACTGCATGCTGGGGTGTGCAGGGCCATGGCCCCCTCTCCTTTCACCCAGAACAATCACTCCTACTGCTGCTAAACACACCAGGGTAGGAGGGCTCCCCAAACGCGACTCCAGCCTCCCTGTCCCTTCACGCAGACTGGGACTTCAGCCCTCGGCCCCGGCACGCACGTCCGCCAGGGCCTCATGGGGATGCTGAGCCGAAGGCCCTCTCTGTGCTCCCGCCCCTTCGCCTGTGCATCAGTCGCATCTCAGAAACGAACACTCTGGGCTTTCAGGGCTCAGACCACAACCAAAGGATCCTTCTGTCTCTAAAACCCCGCGTCCAAACAATTAGCAAAGCCTGAGGGCGCTGACCTCTGACTTACAGCGGCAGGCACCCCCATTTCTCAGCAGTCGGCTCGTGGCACTCCTGAGCTCAAGACCTCTGGCACCTTCTTGGGGCCCTCAGAGCAAAGTCGAGTCCTCACCGCATCCTGTCTCTCTGGCACCCCAATTCACTGCACCCCAGTTATGTGGCCATCCCTGCTCCTCACAGCAGGAGCCCCATTCCAGGTCTCCTGAACCTGCTTTGTTCCCTTAACCCTGAGCCCCTAACGTACTGGTTTGCCTGCTTCTGTTCGGATGGGCCCGTCATGAAGGCAGGGCTGCTTCTGCCCCCTCTGGCCCTCCCAAGCCGCCTGGCTCTATTGGGCACCAGACTGAGCGGCACAGGAGGTTGGGGCCCTGTGCTGGGGGTGGGTGGACACAGGCTCCCAGACACGCACAAGTAGTGACAGGCCTGGACAACCAGTCGCTGACCGTGTGTCCTGGGAGGGGGAGTCACACCTGCCAGGGGAGGCCCCATAGTGCCTCCCAGGCTGACCGGCCCCAGGCCAGACTCCCTGCTCTTGCCCCAGACGGCTCTCAGCCGGCCACACCCTTCCTTATTAAAAATGATGGTCAAGGTGGTTCCTCGCTGTCTCCAGACTGTCTCTCACGAACTCAAGGCCTGACCTCTGTGGGCCCTCCCTCCTGGGGATTTCGGCAGGTAGCTTGGTGGGAGCTGGTAAACGAATCTGCACAGCACGTAAGGCCCTGCTTCGGCTTCTGGGCAGCCACCAGTGGCAGGCCCAGACCACGTGGCTATCAATGGAGGCGCATCTGTCTGCCAGGGACCACAGCCGAGGGCGACGGCAGAGAGATGGGTGGTGCACTCCAGTGTCCGGGCACTGCTGAGGATCCCTCTAAGTCCTCTGGTCAGCTGCCCACTCAGAAATCCAAGGTGCTGGCAGCCTGAGGCCCTGTCCGGGCTAACGATGCTGGTCCTGCCACAGTCCCTCCACTTCTAGGTTACAGCTCAAGAGAGGTGACTCCCGCCACCTCCTTGCCTCACAGCGCTTCCCTCCTCCTTACGGAGGGACTCTTAGTGGCCCACGTCACTGAGGGAGCCATCTTGAAGGGCCTGGTGCCTGAGACAGAGGCCATCCCTCCTGGGGGGTCCCTCTCTGTAGGCCTGAGGGCTGACACACACAGACAAGGCAAAGAAGGAAACCAACCTTCCTCCTGGAGCCGGAAGTCCTGCATTTACCTGAGAGAGCTGGCGCTGCTTCCATCTTTGGAAAGCGGGGATGGAAAGAACAGTGAGAAGGAGAAAATGACAAGCACATGTGCTCCCAAAGAGGCGAGCCCTCAACAAGCACGCGGGAGAGCCCGCTCCTCGGCACGCGTGCTCTGCTGGGCGGGCCGGTCTACGAGGACAGCCCACGCCAGGAAGCAGAGTCGGACGGGGGCTGCGGCACTCACTTCGTCATCCGAGTCTCCACCTTGCATGGTGCCCACGACGCGCTTGGCGGGTCTTCCTGAGGACAACAAGGCATGGGACACGGTGAAGACCTCGGGAAATGGGGCAGGGATGGCAGCCAGGGTCTACTTCCCCTGAGGACACAGCACCACACTAATAAATCAGGTAAGTCGTGTCCCACTTAGCAGACGTCCAGAAAGGGGAAGGGGCCTTCTGCATTTTCCTTTGGAGGAAAGGAAAAGGGCAGTAGAAGAGAAGCGTGACTCGGCGTTAACATGTAAGCAGCCCCTGTGAAGGTTTCAGAGGTCATCCTGAGCCCTGCTGGTCTATATGCCACTAGTGGGACTGGCCTGTACCTGCTGAAAAAGAAATCTGCTCTCCTGCTATACGGCGCCAGAGCCACTCACACTGACTTATGTCTGAGCTTCTGCAGAGGAAGGGCAGCCCACATTCCACTCGCCTGTGCGGGCGGACTCCGCTGAGGGGTGCTCTGTTCCTCCCTCAGACGTCAAGGCCACCCCGATGTGCCTTCTGCAGAAGCACAGAGGCCACCTCTAGGGGACAGGGAAAGGAGCCCCACGGCAGCAGCCCAGGCCAGGCCTGGAGACGGGCGACAGAGCAGGATTCGCAGGTCTGTCCCAGGATCGGGAAAAGGCAGAACCGCGTTAAGAGCTGAAGCCCTCCATTGTCGCTGCTGGAGACAGACTGCGACTTCTGTCTGCAGGCTAAGTGGCCAGCAGAACTGAGAGCCGGCCTCTCCACTAGGTTATACTGAGCCAGGCACGCTCGCTTTTAAACTAAAGGGTGAGCTCTTGCTGTGTTGTGATCCTCCTGCCTCAGCCTCCCATGTAGCGGGGACCACAGGTGAGAGCCGCCACACCCCACTAATCAGGCCTGGTCTCGCTATGCCGCCCGGGCCGGTTTCGAGCTCATATCCTCATGCCCCAGCTTCCTGGGTCGTGGGGGGTCGCAACCCAGGCCTCCATGTGGCCCCGGCCTGTGGGGACCTTTTCACAGCCTTGGCGCCCATCTGCCAAATGGGAGTCATAATGGCTAACCTCTATCTACGTCACCAAGCTGTTGAAAACCAAAAGGAAGAAAAGGAAACCAGAGTGCCCAGTGACCTACGAACAGAGTGACCTGGACGACGAAGGCTGAGCTGACAGCAGCAGCAGGTAACAGCACGAAGTCAACACCCAAGGATGAAACCAAGATGGTTTTCCTCTTAGCGTGAATATACGTCTAAAAGCAAATGCTCCAAACTTTAACAGGACGGAACAAGGGGACCAGCGATGGCATAAAGGTTACATTACTGGACTCCCATGTGGCCAAACACAGTTTGAGTCCCAGACCTGGTTAAAACTCATGCCAGGCATGTGTGCACACATGCCCAAAATCCCAAGAGGGAAATGGAGAAGGGATTACATTGTGGCTATCCCCCCGGGGGTGATTTCTCGCTTTCTGTCTGTGTGTCTGGTGAGTGCATGTACCCTATAGCAAAGATCTCTCTTTAAAAAAGAAAAAAGAGAAGGAAATAAGAAATATCTTAAAGGTTGGGGCCAGCAGGTGGCATGGTGGTTAAGGTGCTAGACTCCCACATGGCTAAAGGTGGTTCGAGTCCTAGACCTGGCAGCTTGCTTTTTCCCATACCCCCACCTCAGGTCAAATGAACAAATAATAATAATTTTTTAACTTTTCTTTTTTAAGAGAGGTTTTTGCTATACAGCGTGTAAGCTCGCCAGACAGAAAGCAAGAAATCACCCCCAATGGGGTTGGCCATGCAACAATCCCTTCTCCTTCATTCTCCTCTTTGGATTGTGGGCTTGCACATGCACACACCCAGCCTGAGTTTCAAGCTGCCGGTCTGGGATTCAAACCACAGTTTGAGTGGTTTGTGGGAGTCCAGTGACATAACCATTATACCATCTGCTGGTCTCAATAATAACTTTTTTTTTTTTTTT